CTACAGCTTTGACTATGGCGAGCAACTCTTTCCTGGTGACACAATAATTCCTCTCCGGTTTAGACAGGCACTTGCTCCAGTAAGCCACTACACGTTCTTGGCCGTCTATTTCTTGGGACAAAACAGCACCGACACTTTCATTGCTCGCGTCGGTGTCGAGAATAAATGGTCGTCGAGCTGAGGATACGTCAGGATTGGAGCAGATGTTAAAGCCTCCTTTAAGTTGTTAAATGCATCCTCGCATTCTTTGGTCCACAAGAACTTTTTGCTTGCTCTCTGTCAGCTTGTGAAGGGGTCTTGCGATGGAAGAAAAGTCCTTCACGAATCTCCTATAGTAGGTGCAAAGCCCTAGGAAGCTTCTCAGCTGATGGACATTTTCGGGACGTTTCCAGGATTTAACCGCTGATACCTTTTCAGGATCCGTGCGCACACCTTCTGCAGAGATGACATGTCCCAGGTAAGTCACTTCCTTTCGGAACAATTTGCATTTAGCGGGACTCAGCTTCAGATTGGCTTCTTTCAGTTTCTGAAGCACCTTCCTAAGATTTTCTAAATGTTCTTCAAAACTCTTTCCGACGATGATGATGTCGTCCAGGTATATCAGGCAGGCTTCTTCGTAGGAAAGGCCTTTCAAAACAGTTCCATAAGGACGTTCGAATGTTGCCGGCGCATTACACAGTCCAAAACGGCATCACCTTGAATTGCCAAAGCCCTTGTCCCGTAGTTAAATGCCGTCTTTTCTCGGTCTTCAGGCTGTATTTCTACCTGCCAATACCCACTCTTTAAATCAAGTGTTGAGAACCACTTGCTTCCAGAAAGAGTGTCTAGAATGTCGTCAATTCTAGGAAGAGGGTAACTGTCTTTCTTCGTAACCTCATTCAACCGGCGATAGTCAACGCAAAAATCTTGTTGAGCCGTCTTTCTTTCTGACAGAACGATGGGAGATGGAGATGCCCATGGACTTACTGAAGGCTCGATGACATCGCCTTCTTCCATATCCTTTTAACAGTGTTCGTACCTCTTCCTGTTTAGCAAAACGGTAGACGTCTTGGATGTTGCTTGATCGGGGGATGATCTCGCCGGTATCGATTCTATGTTGTGTCAAACTAGTTCGACCCACGTCAGAAGACGAGCGGGGAGAAAACAACTTGAAGATCTTTAATGACGCGATCGGCAGCATTCCTCTCTTTATCGTTTAATTGAGCATTCTGCAATAACTCCGATGTAATGCTTTCTGAGGACACGGATTCTGTGGGATGTTACTCTTTCTTTCAACGCTGGTTACTGGAGTACATGCTGCAACCACTACTTTTCTTAATAACTCTCACCTTCTCAGTTACATTGGCGAACTCTCACCGGGATAACCGTTTTCGATAGGTCGACGAGTGTTGAAGGCTATTAGTACTCCTTTCAGGCTATTACAGTTATTGGGATATTCTATAATGCCGTAGCGGAAATTTCTATTTTCTTCTATGGAATCCAGGAAGTAAACACTCGGTTCTTGCGGGTATTGTGATATCATCTTGAACTATAATTTTATAGACAGATTTAACTTTTTCATCATTAATTCCAAATAACGCTATGCCCTCAGAGGCATAATGCAATTCGTTATTTTTAAAGTCCAAGGGAAAATTGTATTTCCTTAGAAAAGTCTAATCCGAGTATGCAAGGAATCAGTGATCTCTGCTACATATGCCGTGTGATGGTAAGCGGCACTTCCAAACGTGATGTTAACGTTTACTTTTCCTCGATGTCGATCTTCTCACCGGACACAGTCTGGAGGGTAACGCAGGGCGGCGTCCAGATAAGTTTGTTTCCCAGTTGTTGAGCCAAATCTTTTCGGATGATGGTAACGTTGGCTCCTGTATCTATCGTCATATTGCAGGGAACTCCATTAATATGTCCTATTATGAAAAGTCCATTACTGCCGCCTCACTGCAGAAATCTGAAGCGCTTTAAACTGGGGCTTTTCATTATCTGGCAACCTCCGCCCCGCGAGATGGCCACTAATTAGTTTCCCTGCTGTTGTAGGAGCGGTCTTAACATCCGTGCCCTGGGGTGTTCTGCAGTTCGTCGTATGTGTCCTTCAGCACCGCAGTTCCAGCACTTTTGGTCGGTTTCTTAACCAATATTCCGTCTCAAGGCGTTGAGTCTAGTTAAATCGTCTAGACGGCGTGACTTGATCCCCTGGCTCCTGGACTTGAGCAGCTCACTGGGTGGCGGTCTCGACGAGGCTTGCTGGGCTGCCCTCGAATTTCATGGCGTACATAAGCACTTTTCAAATCTTAACATCCGCCATTCGTAGATTTCTGGTATTCGGGTCCCGGATGCCATCGATAAATATTGCAGGACAGGATTTCCGTTTCTCGGGCACTCCCAAAAGGCGAGGGGGACAGCTTTCAACATCCGTGGCGAAGTTCCTGAAGTGTTGTGGGCTTCTGTTGACGGGTTTTAATTGATTGCTGTAGTTTTTAAACTTTCGCCAAAGCGCAGCTCCAAGCGCCGGATAGAGCTTCGAAAGTCTTTGGTTTTCTGGGAAGCGTCTGCAGGATATCCTGCGTCTGCTCTCAGAGAAGCGCGAGATGGACAGGCCTAGTTGGGGAATATCATTCGCTCCTAACGATAGAAATTGTGTTTTACACTTGCCAGGATGTATCCCATCATATGTGGATACTTCAGAGATGGACGAGCAGGCATCGGTAAGAATTTAAAACCATCTTGCTCCTGCTTCGTATGCTTTCTTTAAGTATCACTTCTTGGCAACGCAGAACCCTTAATTCCAATTGTTGTTCGAAAAGAAGACTCAACCCTTCTTTTCAATTTTACAACCTCTTTTTATTTATCCTGCTTCTTAGCCGTCGAAGTTTTCTATTAGCGGAATTTCTCTTTTATTCGGAGTGACTTTCTTTCATCTTTACTTTACGATTTATTCTCTTTAACGGAAGCTTGAATCTTCCTGACCGAACGGCTCTTGTCCGCTTCAAGCTTTCCTATAGATTTCATTCTGTTTCAAGCAAGGCTCAGGAACTGCCGTTAATGCTCTTCGTCGCTCTGTTATTGGCATTCAATCCCTTCTGACAGCAAAATTGTGCGTGCGTACGAGTCGTTTGAATTAATTCACAAGTCCGATGATAAAAATGAAAAGATATTAGGATCACAATAAATAAAACACTTTCAATTTTCTCAATATCGTACAGTATTACAATATCTCATAGTAGTATCTTTTAACTACTCAAAGTTCAACAACTTAAATAAAAGCTACAGACGCTAATCCCAAATTCGCTACAGTCACAAAGCAGTTTTCTAAACAAAAAACAACAACAATAACTAAAATAACAATACGATTCAGAGGTTTCATGCCGCTTTAATAATTTTAATCACGTGCTTTCTGAAATCAAAAGAGATATTTATTTATTTAAATGCACGTGCTCTGTATTTTTAATTTCGGCTTAGCTTCTTAATATTCGTCACGCCTGCACTGATGGGAAAAAAACAGTTATTATAATTCAACACATTAGTATTAAATACGAATCAAACATATATTATAAATATAGTTGAATATTGTTGACATTTTAAGCCATTATTTAATATGTAGATACAAGCGTATTCGGCATAAGTACCGTTCGAAAAAAAATAGCTAAACATTTTTTCGAATCATTTTATTTTATTGAAATACAAGTTTAAACATTTTCAAAATTTAGCGAAGATCAAACGCTTGGTAAGCGGGTGACAGTTTTAGTTAACGCCTCAAAGCAAACTCGCCAGTTTCGATGACCACGACTCCACAGCATTTTCGTGCATCATCTGATCAAGCGCTTGCCACAGTTCGCGCTTAATTGCAGGAACAGTGATAGTCGGACGGAGCCAAGTACGTGTGTACGGCGGGTGATTGAACGCTCTCAATGAAACGTGGAATTAACGGATTAAATGACACAGCAGTAGGGGGCGAGCATGTCATGGAGAACACACGATTCCTTTAGAGCATTCCTTTCGTTGTTTGATGGCACGCTTTGTTTGTTAAAGTCTCACATATATGCCGAGTAATAGGTTTCCTCTGGAAGAAATCAGTAGCAAAGCCCTGTTTTATCCCAGAAGAAATGGCACATGATTTTTGGATGACATTGTCACTTTGAACTTTGTTTTTTTGGAGAATGCGTTGGCTCACTCCATTGATTGTGTTTCGATCTGGTGGTGGAATGACCACCCAATTTCATCACCTGATCACAGTTTGGTATTAAAAAGTTTTCTCCCTCATCTGTAGTGGCGTGAGAATGTAGGGCGCACCACGTCGCTTTGTTTTGCGAAATCAGTGAGCATTTTTAGAACCCACGGGGAACACAGTTTGCGTAATCAGAGCGGTCAGACACAATTCGCAACAAAACAGTACGTGAATTTGTGGAAAGCCTCTGAAAAGTTGTCATTGCGGACGCATCTGTTCCTAAAAGGCGGTCATCAACTTTCTTTCAAATAATCGGTGACAACAGAAGGAGACACTCGAGCCTCGGCGTGGACATTGTTCTTTGCATTAAATGTTCTTACCACTTCTCACCATTCATCACTTATCGCATATTCAACGATAAATTTCTGTCACTTTGACGATAAATTCGGCCGGTTAACATTCCTGCGTTCAAAAATTTATCACGGCACGAATCTACAGTCAGCAGGAGAACTAATTGTCTTAAATTTTGAATTGTCACATAGAATGAAAAACAAAAATAGAGCAACCAAATTCGACAATGAAGTCAGTGAACAAGAAAGATGTGTGCATGGCGGGATGCCATCACAGCAGTGCGACGGCGCTAGAATGAAACGGTACTTAGTTTCCGAATACACTATGTACATAGTATATAAATTGATTTTACTTTTATCTGAGGCTGAGGAAATCTTTTGCATTTTTCAATAGCATTTAAAATGAAATTTTTGGATTTGAAATTGCTATGTCTAACATTATTTTAAAATTGTTTTTCTTCTAAAAATTTTGATTTGCCTATTGCAGGAAGGAAAATTACCCCCATCTGACTCAGAGTTTTCATCTGCTGTTGCAGTTTTACATCAGTATGGAATGGCTCACATAATTAAAGAGTGGTTTATAAATTCATTTCAAGAAGATATGCAAAATGTGATAATACCAGAATTTTGGAAATGTTTCAGAAACTGTGAAAGAGGCAAATTTTGGAAATTTCCTTATGCATTAAATCTTCTTTACAACTGTTTGCAGTCATATTTTCCAGCAGTTATTAAACTACAGTCTCTGCAAGAAAACTTACTGCTTCAAGTACATGCACTACCCCCTGATGCTCAGAGAAGTGTGGAAGCTGTGAAAGTGTCTGTAATGGATGAATTTTTTTCTGTTGCCAGATGCTTACTTTTTGCAAAGTGGCCTGTAGATTTTAGAGCTGTGCTTGTAGATTTTTATACCCAGGCATTTAAAGCATATCAGTCTAAGTTCAAATTAATTAAAGGTATGCATATTTTTGTTTTATATATAATATACAGTATTGTTTTCAAATGGTTGGTATTGATTTGTTTTCTTGTCTTTCAGTTGTAGCTGCATGCAAATCATATTTATTTCTTCTGTCAGTTAAAAATTAATACAGAAGCCAAATGCAATTAATGCCAAATGCAATTTAAGCTAGAAATTATTTTTAGTATTAAACTATTAACTTCTCCTTGCATTAAATACATGAATGCTATTTTATCATTCCTGAATATTTTTGTAAAAGTATACAGAATGAACATAAACTGTTTTTCTGATTACAAAAACTTTACATAAAATAATGTATGACAGAAATTTGAAATTTTTATTTATTGCATAAAACTTGCAATAGATCATAAGCAGGACATATTAAAAAATAAAATGCCATTAATGAAAAAAAAAAAAAAAAAACCTCAGTTTATGTTATAGTGTAATGAAACAAAATTACTCTTCTCTTTTCTGTGGCAGGTCAGAAGTTTGTGTAGATGTAATCCTGTGGATATTAAGTATTAAATAAGAATATTAGGAGCGGGTAAGAACATTTTTAAAATGGTGTTTGTAACCTTCTGAGAAGTGGCAGGCATACTGTGAGTAATGAGCTTGAGGACCGTATTTGTTATTCGTCTTGGCACAGGCCTGTTAAATTAACTCATGCATTATAGGAACTTCAAATGCCGCAGAGAATAGCAGTCCAAATTTTTCACAAACAGCTTGACTTATGTGCTCTCAAGTGCATTGATTTTGCTGATGAGATGCAAATCCACATGTATTTTTCTGATGAATCAAACTTTCTTGTATCTGGCTAGGTAAATATGCAATAATGTGCATATCTGGAAATCAGAAAATCTAATGCTACTTTTCAAACAGAAAGAGATAGTAGTGAGGTGAATTGTTGGTGTGGCCTAATGCATAACATTTGTTATTTAGAAGCAGAAAACAGGAAAAATTAGCAACGCCTTCGCCGGGGCTCAAACCACGGACCTCTCGAATACACGTCGAACGTGCTGACCACTACACCACGAAGGCATACTAAGAAGGTGGGAGAACTACCTTATATACTCTCCCTTCTAAAAAGCAACTGGTGTTTTAGAGACTCATTCGCCAAATCCTAGTGGTGATAAATCATCATCCACCACCTTTTAGTTCGGGTGCCACTGTAAAGACATTAGGTTATTTGGAAGCAGGAGACATTAAAAATGAGCAACCCCTTTGCAGGGACTCGAACCACGACCTCTCGAATGCGCATCGAGCGTGCTGACCACTACACCACGAAGGCATGCTAAGAAGGTGGGAGAAATACAGTTTAAGGTTACTGAACCTTTTTTATTTATCAGAACAAGCATTGTAATTATTCTTTGCACCTCAGTTAGAAAATGTAAGCCGTGGACTATTTACCTGCAAGATAGTGCATTTTTTTCCTGGGCTCTGTCGTTCATCAATTCCTGTATACAAAAACTTCCAGCCAGATGAATCAGAAAGGTTGATTCAACGTTATGGCCTTCATACTCACCTGTTATTACTCCTCTTAATTTCTTCATCTGGAGTTATAGATAGGCTAGAGTCTTTACCATACTATTTTGTAAAACTAATGTTTTAAAAAACGAGGATAGCGTATGCTGTGTTAAGTATTACAAAGTTAATGTTGAAAAACATGTAGTCAGAACTGGATTTGGCATTGTTCCAGGCTACAAAGGAAGCATATGTTGAATTTATTAAGAAAAGCATTATTCTTAAATACTGGATTACTGCAGGTTACCATTTCCAGAAACCATTAATTTTTGTAGCCAGGGGAAGATTTTATGTTCATTGTATAGCATGACTTTTTTTTTTCCCTTCAATAGATAAATTATTACAACTTTGGAAAATTTTATGTACAATCTTTATAATATATTCAATAATTATGATGTCTGCCTCTCTTTATATAAAGAGAGGTACATATCATTTTCTGCTTTTCCAAATTATCTTTTAACCTTTTTAAATGTCTAATGGAAATTAATTTGTTGAATGGGACTTTTTATTTGAGCATATTGCTAAAAGGAAAAGAATAAGCTGATAACAGGTTCTTCCTGTTATCAGCTTATTCTTTTCTTTAGTTCTTTTCCCGTGTGCCTTAACTAGGTAATTTTCAATTACTACAGGTTAGAATATTCTGAGTATTTGCTGAACTCTGTAAATACTTTGGACAGACATTTGGTAGGTAAGATGTTACTGTGCCTTCGGCATAAGTGAAAAGATTGATTAATATTTATGAATATACATATTAGTACAAATAATACTTAAAATAATAATTTAAAGTATTTTTCAAACATGAATCATTCTAAATAATTGAACATCGTTTTTAAAACATTGGTTGTATGAATTTTTCAGTAATGCCATGCTGGAATCCAGTACCTAATAACATCCTGGAGAAAAGAAAAAAAGATTAAATAAAATAGAAAGTCCTCCACAAAGGCATCCCTCTCCTTAGGCAGCCGTATTCTTAATACACACACACACACACAAATTTTAGGTAAAAATCAAAATAGGTAATATTAATACATATTTTATTTCTATTTACACATGTTTCTAAGCTAAGTGAGTTTATTGTTTGTTGATACACTCATGGCACATTGAAAATGTCATTAAACCAAAAACTTTTCTAATGTCTTTAAGACCATCAAGTGTTTGAAATAATCCAAATTAAACTGTAAATATGGTCCCTTTCAAAACTATTAAATTATGATTACTTAATTGTATCAACTAACAGTTAAAATATATCTTGATAAATGCATTCATTTAAAGCAATATAATTATTTTTCAGAAGAAGAATCTGAACCTACTTTGCAGTGTTGTTATTGTGATAATAGTACAGAGGCTTGTTGTTGTCAGGAATATTTGGATGAATTTTATGCTGGAACTAACAAATTGTAAGTATTTTTTTTTTTTTTTTCTAAAATATATTTTAAAATTTAATACTTTTAAAGAAATGTTAACAGAAAACATTGCAAATTCTTAGACTTATAGAATATATTTATTTTATGTATGTTTTATTTAATTTATCTATTTTATGTATTGAAAAGCTGATATGTCTTGAACTTACCAATGGCCAGATGAAGGAAATATTAATATTTCTCCATGGGTTCAGATCCTTATAACTGAATGCATTATCTGCAGTGCTTTTTCCCATGTAGAATACTAGCTATTTTTTAACCACCAACTAGGTACTGGTTTTTATCTAAAATCTCAGTTCTCCAAAGCTCACAAGAAATGCATATTTTATTGATTATAACTGAAGAAATAATACCCTTTCTATTTTGTATCGATTTCTTTCCCTTGCAAGATACTGATTCATTTATATGGGAATATTTAAAAAGTATTGTTACAGATTTTGTATTTAGTTTGTATTTTTAGTACTAGAATTGTAATTAAAATGTTTTATTTCCCCATGCAATGCAGTGCGTGACGAATTTTAAGAGAAAGCTATGCCAGAAAAGTAAAAATACAAGAGCATTTGCATTTAGCATTTAATAAAAGTTTATCTCTGTAATTGATATTTAATTTGAATAAATGTAATTGACTACAATGTTAACTGTAATTCTTTTGCTTTCCAGAAACCTCAAGAAAATGGAAATTATCAGAATGTTCTTGTTGAACGTTTAAAAAAGCTTCACGAAGCCAGAGTAAAACATCTCAGTTCAGTTGTTTACTAAGTTGTCGTTTTTTACCTAGCTGCTGTAATTTTGAGATCAGATTAGCTTTCTCTGCACTTTGAATTGTATTCTATTTAACGTTTGAGTAGTTAAAAATATAACTATTGTATGATATTGTACGAATATCTGTGAGGAAAAATTTCAGCATTTTGTTTTATTTCTTGTGATAAGAATAAATTTTCATCAGACTTGTGCATTTAATCTATTACGAACTCATACGCATGCAACAGTATGTACAATGAAATTTTGTTTCATAAATTTAATTTGTTCCTGAATGCAGTTCATAAACCTTAAGTATTTCCCCATAAGAATTAATATAAAATGGATTAATTCATTCTTGGACCATCCACATTTATTTAAACTTTATAACAATATTGTATTAAAAAAATCTATAAAATCTAAGGCAGAGAAAGATAAATGTGATATTAAATAGATAACCGATTTGAAAACTTAATTTAAATTTACGGTATCTGGAAGAAGAAAAGTGATGAGGAAGGGGGGAAAAGAGATGTTATTGTTTATATGAGGTATCCCTTTTCAAAATGCACTTCTCTTTGTGGGGCATCTTTCATCTTTTCCTTATCTCTTAGTGCTTACTTATCTCTGCATGAGGCTCATTGAGTCTCCATTGCACCAAAAATTTTTACAAGTGATTTATTGTTATCTATGTTTTAAAGTGTTTCTAAAGTGGCACTTTTATTGATATATGCTCTACTTACTACAGATTTATTAAAATGATATCAAGATTTGAATGTAAATTTTGTATCTTGCCCTCTTTCGTAAAAATTTTACATATTGTGAACTAAGATAATCTTTTCTTTCTTCTTCTGAAGACATTGCCTTCACAGTCGGCTTTTGTTGCAGAACTTTACTATTCTCTAGAAATTCCTTCACATGTTCATTGTTAACTTTAAATCCCAAGTTAGAGACACAATATCATAAAGAACAAGAAATGACCTATGTATTAAAACTAAGTCTGTGCCTGCAATACACTCTGGCCATAACTTCCTCAAGGCCAAGTTCATGCTTCGCTAAGTCACTCGCTACCGGGCTTTATTAATGAGAGTTAAGCAACAGGAAATATTAAAATTTTTCAAGATGTCCCCAAGTGTTAATTTTGTAGTTTAAGTTACTTCAAAACACCTTTGAAGTTCATTTCTTATGAACTTGAGTATTTGTAATTCAGGATACAATTTATTATTTGAGCTATTTTTCGTTTATGATAAATGTTTGTGATATGACGCATTCATAATCCAAGGTTTAACTATATACATGTAGTAGGGGAGTTGAGAATGCTAGTCCAGGGTCCATTAACAAGTCCAATGTTTCCACACCACGAAACATTTAATAAAAATAACAGAAAAGGTACAGATTGAATTAAATACAAGTGCTGTTATGCCTTCTCGCACTTTGTTAGATATAAACACCGTTCTTTATCACTTTTAGAATTTTATAACTACTCGCACTAGCTGTCGTATATGCAGTCAAGTTACCACCTTCACGTGGAAACATAGAGTTCATTATTTAACCACGTTCTCGTGGAGAACTACGTCTTACTACCTTCTCGTGGAGACATCTTACCACCTTTGCATGGAATAGAAGACTCTCTGTCTAATGTCATACTCTTGTTTCACCTCGCTCTCGCTGCTGGCGCATAGGTGAGGCCCTCTGGTGGCTTATATACATATAATAGTACCCTTGTATCTGCAATTAATGCACTGATCATCAAAATTAAAGAATAATGACAAAATATGCTCACTAAGTTAATGTTGCAACCAATGCACAGTGCTATAATTATTTATGTCAATTAAAACAATTGAACACAAATTGCACTTTTGTGCATACGTTAGTGCCGGCAATAAGAAAATTCGGTAATTGATAATGTGGTGCACAATGGACACATGTTAGAATTCCAATCTGTAGTGTTGTTTAAAGTGAATGTGGTTTCTGAGAGTGATCACTATTCAGTAGTTATAGAAAATTTAAAATACATACAATTATGCCTTTTAGTTCTGTAAATGTATAACAGATGGCAGCACTGGTATTCATTCATGGAAATAATGTAAAATAAAAATTCTTTGCAGGTCTAATTTTGAAGCAGTTTTTTTTTTTTTTTTTTAATTTCTAATGAAATTTAAATGGTTTGAATAACAACTTTTGTTGTTAGAATGATTATTTTCATGTGAAAGTTTCCTTTTGTAATAGAAATTATTTGAATTCATATAATATAAAAATGGGTTGAAATTAAAAGGTGGGGACACCCAACGCATGTAGGAATGCTGCTATAGATGGCAGCACCCGTCCAATTATTTTTAAATTCAAGTATCATGTTCATTTTATATGTTGATAATGCAAATTTATATTTTTTAATGAATTGCAATAACATTAATACTTGAAAAATATTTAGTATTTTTCCAAAAGAAATAAAAATATAACTCTGTAACATGGAATGTCATTGAATACTGAATAAATATGTGAGTGTGATTCACAATAGAAAAATATCCTAAGCAGAGGAAAGAGAGGGGAAATGTAAATATACATGATGGCCTTCTAAATATCTTCCTTTTCAAACCTATAGCAAATAAAGTACTGGAGCAAAAATCTTCTCTGTTTCAAATCTATTATGATATCATTAAAAAATATCTAAAAAGTCATGCTGAGAGTGATTTTTTTTTAAATTAAGTAATTTTTTTTGAAAAAAATATTTTTTATTTTGCCAATATGATCAATATTTTCTAGACAGTTATTCAAAAACGTTTTTATATCTTCATTTTCTAAAACTAGCACTTTAGATAAGCATGTAAGGAGAATTTACGCTCATGCGAAGATGCTATTTTTCTGCTCTAGATGCGCAGTGGGACAAGCAGTATCCCACCATGTCATGGATTACCTTAAAAGTTTACCTGTTTTTTTTTTGTTTCCCCCCCTCCCCACATGAAATAACATTGCATTAGGGGCTCATTGAGCATCTATGGTGTTATAATACTTGCAAACAGAAGGTACCTTTCAAGTGGATTTCGATGAGCCTGTGTGGGATGTTTTACGGTTCTGAATTTCTGTGCGAGAAACACCTCTTTGGACCCTCCAGGAACTGAAAAGTGCACTTTTAGAAGAGTGTCATACAGTTCCACAAGACTTGATCTTTTCCACTTTACACTTTGGTAAAGTCTATGAAATCAAGATGTGAAGTATGCGTATCTAAGGTGACCATACATCATATTAAATTTCCACAAGAGGTGATTTAGTTTTTTCATCATTTTCCAATTTCTATAAATTTGATTTTAATTTCAATATTTTGCAAATAATCAACTGCCAAACGTAATTTATGTTAACTAAGGCTTTTGTGCAAATTCCAATTAATAATTTTCCATTCAGTTATGCTTTATTTCTTTCATTATTCTTTAATTTTGATGATCAGTATACTTTCCAAAACTAATCTTGGATAATAGTAAACACATATATCCAAGCAGGATATAAGCCAGGATGTTTGCAATATGCATAATTCAGTTTACTTGATATACTATTTAAGTAAGATGTTATTAAAATTGATATAATATGATAATAAAGAATTCTGTATACATTAATACATGATATATTTTTAAATAAATTAATTTAAAGCAGACTACTGTGCACCGTTATCTCGTGTACTTATGGCAGCAAGGGGTTCCAACATTTTTTTAACCCATTCCATTAAATGATAAGTGAGAATAATAAGTTCTTTGCTGATATGTTAGTTTTTTAACAGTTTATTAAATATTCTAAAATCAAGAATTAATAAGAAACAAATGAAAAAGTAATTGGAAAAAAAGTATGTAAAATTTCATGGTAATCGGAGGTTGCTTACTTTTACAAGACATGAAAATATGATATTAATAGAGTCAGTAATTTTGTGGACTGACTGCTGTGTGAGATCCTCTTTGTACTGTATCTCAAAATGCAGAGGCACATGTATATTATGTGTTAACAAGCTATTAGTCTAAGCACAGTGGTTATATCAGCAACATCAGAGTCAGGCAGGCATGTTACAATGGTCATCATCAGGCATGTTACAACATCAAATTTTATTATCATACTAAGCAAAATGACAACCAAGACTGTGAAAATGATCCAGCAAGTATATACTGAAAAAGCCATTGCCTTTTTTGTACTGTTGTGGCACAAATGTTTTGTGGAAGGTAGGAATGGTCTGGATGATTATGTGCGTAACTGGTTGGCCAGGATAGGCGAAAATGGATTTTCAAAGTGGTGATGCTTAATTCTGCTTTCTTTATCACAGCATTTCCTTCATCACATTGAAAGGGGTTATGCGTAGTATGTCATAACTGTCTCATAAGCGTTCACAATAGTTATAGCTTTAAAAAGTTTTGACTTACCTTGTAAATATTGAATTAAAAATGCTTTTGTTGTAGTTTGCATTTTTCTTAAAAATGCCAATAAAAGAGGTAAATTTGAGATAAAGCTATTTTCTGAAAACTTAATTGATTTAATTAAAAATTTTAAATGAGGTTTTGTTTTGATTTAGTTGGTTATGATAAAGCACAATATGGCTATCTGCTTAAGGGAAGGGATACCTTCGTAGAGAACTTTTCAAAGGGAAACTGTCTCGTATACACATTACACATGAGGAAGACCATGTAGTCAGCCCATTCATCTGGAATCGAACCCAGGTCAGAACTACCAGTGTTCAGCGATTTTACTGCAAAGTTGCTGGTAGGCATTTTAAGTTAGGAATAGAACTTTTTGATTATTTGTATCTCCTCTGAAAACTCGCAGATTTGTTGCTGACCATGGACAGCGATAGCAAACTTGTTGGTGGCTGATTTTTCATCAAATTAATGCACAAAGGCAAGAGCCATTTTCAAAACAATGGCATGCCCACCAGCGGCCGAGCGGTAAAGTCGCTAAACACTGGTAGTTTGGTCCGAGGTTCGAATCCCGCGAACGGGCTGGCTGCATGGGTGTTTTCGTGGTTTTCCCCATGTGTAACGTGTATACGAGCCATTTTCCCTTAGAAAGTCCTCCACGAAGGCATCCCTCCCCTTAGGCAGATAGCCCTAGTGTGTTTTGCCATAATTAAATACACACACACACACACAAAACAATGGCATACTAAGAATTCTATAAAAAAGCAATCATCAATAAAATTTTAAAAATAAAGAACATCAGTAATAAATTCTTTACTTTTTCAAGAAATATTTCTGTAATTTTTTTGCACTGTTATTTTCTCCCTGTGCTTAGCAATCTGTTTTTGTTTAAAAATAAAATCAGTACAAACTGGGCACTGGCATAAATAAAGTGAGTAGCTGTTGTAAATGAGATACAGCTGTCTTCGAACCTAACTTTGACCCACATTCTAATACTTTGCTTGAAATTTTTTCTATTGCATTTCTATGAAATTCAGTTGTTTAAGAAACAGAACTTGATAGAATGTGAATTTTTACATTCTTTGTTGTTGAGCAAAACTTCAAATTTCCATTATGATTTGTTATGAGAAAACCAAAATAATCAAAGCAAAAAGAAATGCTAATCAGAAAAATGATGGCTGAGTTTCAAAAGTCAAAATAAAGGTACTTGCTTATGCACATACTTAGAGTGTTAGGTAAATGCTATCAGGTAATATGGGTTGCCACATAAATATTTTGGCAACATACTGCATTGCAACCTGCCAGTGAGAAGTCTATGTAATCAGAAAATACTAAGATTTTTTTTTTTTTTTTTTTTTTTTTTTTTTTTTTTGCATGTGTAGTTTTTAAAAATATGTGTTAATTAAGCAGTGTGTGAAACAAACTAAAATTATTTATGTTCCAGGTATGAATTACAATTCTTCCAAATGGCTGTTGGAGATGTTCCTATAAATGTTGCACAAGATGTTGTAGAAAAATATATACAAGATTCTTGCAAAGGAAATTTTGAAATTCCTCTGTTAAAGATCTTGAGATTAGTAAGTATAAGTGTTTGAATTTTATAATTATAATGTATTATTTATATATAATACTGGGTACAATATAAGGGTCTTGAGTTTCTGAGTTATCTTTTCTTGAGTGGATAATAAAAAGATAGGTAGCTAGAAAAAGAAGAAAATCCGCAATATCCCACTGTAAAAGACCATTTGCTAGAAAAAGCAGGAAAACTCATTTGACAGTTGAATTTCAGTGGAACAGATAAGCATATTAATTAAAGTTATAAAGAATGAAGCAATAATAGTAATATTGAATGTGTACTAATAATGTAAATAAAAGATCAACCGGAAGAATCCTTTTGTAGAGAACTTAAAGGAAACTGTTTAAATATTGATCCTTAAAAACTCTGTTTTTAAATTCTTAACATCTGTTATTTCAATTTGCCGTATGTTATATTAAAAATTTGAAATTTTTTTTTTGGTAAAGCAGGTATATTTATTATATATGTAATAATTATAGTATATACTAAATTTATACAGATTATTGTATTTTATTTTACAAAAATGTATTACTTTATGAGTTTATAAGTTTTCAAGAAAAATGTAAATGTGAAGCTTACCTGTTTACTATTTTTAATTTTAGTGGCTAGACAACACAGTTATATCGTGGCTTTCATCATTCTATTGTGGAATAAAAGGTGATGACGATCATGTCAGTAAATTGTTGTCTGAATATAAGGTAAATTTCAAAATTTCCATCAAGGTGACTGATTTTACTATTTTTTAAAATGATTTATTCTTGTGTATTTGCTACTGTAGTCAAATTACACTGTAGCAAACCCAGTTTATGACAAACCCCTGGCTATAACGAAAAAAAGCCTTTTAGTCCTATCTATTTCCTTTGCACTTAATTTTATTTAATATGTCTATAGTGAACCTCCAAATATATGAAAATCGATGTAATTTAAATTTTAGTGGCTATAACATTATGAATATCTTCTACTAAAACTTTTTTTACATTTATGTAGCTTTTTCCAAAATTTCTACAAATTTTAACTGAAAAATTACTACTTTTTAAAATCATCAATATTAAATGTGTTAGATATCATCTAAGGCAGAGAAGTGAAAAAACACTTTTACAAAAAGGAAGTTTAGTTCTTTTTATCTATGCCCTCACTTTTCTCTATGTTCAGAACAAACGCTAAGATAGGTGTAAAAGATAGGTAGCTAGAAAAAGAGGAGAATCCACAATATCCCACTGTAAAAGACCATTTGCTAGAAAAAGCAGGAAAACTCATTTGACAGTTGAATTTCAGTGAAACAGATAAGCATATTAATTAAAGTTATAAAGAATGAAGCAATAAGAGTAATAATGAATGTGTACTAATAATGTAAATAAAAGATCAATCGAAAGAATCCTTTTGTAGAAAACTTAAAGGAAACTGTTTAAATATTCATCCTTAAAAACTCTGTTTTTAAATTCTTAACATCTGTTATTTCAATTTGCCTTATGTTATATTAAAAATTTGAATATTTTTTGGTAAAGCAAGTATATTTATTATATGTGTAATAATTATAGTATATACTAAATTTATACAGATTATTGTATTTTATTTTACAAAAATGTATTACTTTATGAGTTTATAAGTTTTCAAGAAAAATGTAAATGTAAAGCTTATCTGTTTGCTATTTTTAATTTTAGTGGCTAGACAACACAGTTATATCATGGCTTTCATCATTCTATTGTGGAATAAAGGGTGATGGGTCCCATAAGGATATATAATAAGTATATCTTAGTATATCATATGGTGTTCATGACCTTTGAATCAACTTGAATGGATGCTGGGATTCCATTTAAGCTCTTTGATTGAGCTTTCAGGTGGTGCTTTATTCAAAGCTGATGCTATGACAGAAATTATGAAATTTTTACTAACAAGAAAAGAAGAAATAGTAAATAGATTTGTATGAGCAGATGGCTATATAAACTCTTAGACAAAAAAAAAATAAATAAATAAATAAATAAATAAATAAATAAAATAAAATAAAATAAAATAAATAAAAAAAGATGCACCGGGAAGATATAAAGCAAATTGGACACAAATTGATATGATTAAAGGTTTCGACGTAAAACGCAAAATTTTACATTTTGGCTGCCAGTGAATGAACGGTTGTCGCTACATCGCATCTGGCAGGATATTTAAGAGGAGAAATTACAATTGCAGGTCATAAATTCTTCATGAATTTCATTCCGTGTACTCTGGTAGACAGTAACTATGCCTTGCATGCAGGTGTCTGAACGATATGCACAGATGTCAGAATTTGAGAGAGGTCATGTAATTGGGCTCAAAGAAGCCAGTTGATCTTATCACCGAATAGCTTGACATTCTGCCACCATCATCTAATAGTGATGCCACTATTAGATGATGGTGGCAGGAATGGGTGAACCATGGCCACACACAGCATCAAGAAGGAAGCAGTAGGCCTAGAGAAACAACAGAACGTGAAGACCGAGCAATCATCAGAGCGGCACTCACAGCCCCAGATGCATCATTATCATCGATTGTACATGCAACTAGTGCTTCAGTGACCACAAGGACCATTCATAGACAGCTTACAGAAAGGGGGCTGAGGTCATACAGCGCCCGTTGCATCTGACTACCAATTGACCTCTGTACAACATTAAGCCCGTTTGCAGTGGTGTCGGGCCCATTCGCAATGGAATGTCACTGACTGGAGTAGAAATAGTCTTCAGTTGAATGAATCCCGCTTTGAAATGAGCCCTGATGACCAGCGAAGGCGAGTCTGGAGATGCCCAGATAGCACTGTGATACCAATCTGACTGTCTTCCGGCAGACATTCTTTCCGGCCGACATCCAGGAGTGATGGTCTGGGGTGCCATTTCATTTCATAGTAGGACCCCTTTGGTTGTCATCCTTCGCAACCTTACAGCAACAGCGGTACTTCAAAGTTCTAAGGCCCGTTTGTTGCCCTTCATGTCATGCCACCCTGGGCTTACATTTCAGCAAGATAATGTCCGCTCCCACACTGCACATGTTTCTACTGCTTGCTGAACATTACCTTGGCCAGCAAGGTCACCAGATTTCTCTCCTATTGAGCACGTGTGGAGCATTATGGGCAGGGCCCCCAACTAGCTTGGGTTGTTGACGATCTAGCGCGCTAGTTGGACAGAATTTGGTACGATATCGCTCAGAACATCCGCAACATCTATCAATCCATGCCAAGCCTAATAACTGCTTGCATAAGGGCCAGAGGTGGACGAACACGTTACTGACCTTTTCACTTTGTGAAGCTCTAGCACTTCGATAAATCATCCAATTTTTCTCAAACTGTAATCATTTGTTTTTCTGTACATGTATATCACTTCTACGAATTTTCATCCCATTCGGATTCTTCTTGGTGCGTCCTTTTTTTTTTTTTTTTTTTTTTTTTTTTTTTTTTGTTTTTTTTGTTGTTGTTGTTGTGTGTTTGTTTGTTTGTTTAAGAATGTAGATTATTCATCTGCTTCAGTACTGAAAACTGTGAAAGTTCTAGCATCTGAATGGGGAGATTTGCATTCTTTAAATCTTTTGTAAGGTTTAGAATATCCTTTATTAGGGCTTTTGTATATTTTCTTTGCAGCTATAGATATCTTGGATGAAACTAATGCATTCTCACTAAACATTAGATAGAGCAGATAAAGAATGAAACCGTTTTCATTTTTCATATTTCCTGTAAAAGTGAAACTTATTTAAAAGGTTATTTAATCTAATTCTCTTCACCCTGTACTGGGGATATTTTAGTGGCTAAAATTCATCTGTAAGCTGAACAGTAAATATGCAATGTTAATCTGTATGCAAATGACTTTGTATTGTAGGCAACGGGAGTGTAATTTGAAAAATGCTGAAAGAATATAACCAAATCGGTATCTACCGGGAATGTAGTTTTCTACGATCTAGAATAAAATACTCAAGACTTGATAATTTCTACTCACAGGTAAAAAAAAAAAAAAAAAAATTATGTACAGTTAAAGACTGTCATAAGAAATCATTAAGAAGTGTATAACTTTCTAATAAAATTAGTTAACAATTTTTAAGCAGGGGGAATTTTTTTCTGAATATAAGATAACATTTCTGAACTTTAATTAACATTTTTTATTAATCAATGAGGACCGAGGGTCTTCTTAAAAAGTATATTAATGTTCTGCATATTTATTATGGCTTTCTGGCAAATTACATAGAAAATTTTTAATCTATTAAAAAAGTAATTCGAATAAAAATATTTCAAATGCGTTTGTCCACCTCTGGCCTTTATGACAAAAAATTATTTTAAAATATTAATTTTATTGTTGTTTTTATTATAATTTAAAATCATAATTATTGAACAAATCAGCTAAAATGAAACAAAATTATAATTTTAATTCAAAAAATCTGTTTAAGAATTCATTCAAAAATAATAAACTCTGTCATATTGTTTCTGAATTAGTTTTTTAACCATTATTGAAGAACTGAAAGTTTTGGAATCCTCCGTTGGAAAACGAAAAGTGGGCTTGATAATGATTGATGACATCTGAGTTAACTGAAACTGTAATGTTAGCTAGGAGGCTCTGGAGTATGCCATGAATGGGAATCCACTCTCATGTGATTTATTATAATGACGATGATTTTTTTATTTGAATTGAATAAAAAAATTCACATAGTTAAAAATTCTTTGCACTTTATTTACATGTCATGATACTATTAAGTTGTTACAAATGAAATGGTCCTAATGACGTAGTATGCAATCTGCTGTTTTTAGTTAGTTCCTTCACACTATCTCACAGAAATATGGTGGAGATCCATAAATGGGCCATGCTGTATTACATTTGTAATGTATATGGCTGAACGACTCATAAAAATGGTTCTTTTAAGGGCATATCCTGCTTTGGTATTGTAAAATTTGAAGAAATCAAATGTAATGGAATTGAAAATTTAATACATTATTAAATTAATTAAAGAATTTTCATTTAAGTATTCTTGATAATTTTGATTTATTTTCATATATAAAACAGTGCTTTAGTGGCACCATCTAAGAAATAACTAACTAAAAGGAGTAGATCACATACTACTACTTACTTAAATGGTTATTGAATGACATTATATTTCTATTTGTTTCTGTTATTGCAAATACCTGAGGTTTAAGCAAATTTTTTGTGTCATATGACAGCATTACATATGGGTGATGTGACTGAAGTACTTGTATCATCCAATGAGTATTAAACATTGAATTCTACCAATAAATTAGTATCCTACACATTTGAGTTTAAATTTGAAAATTCTTCAGGGGCTGAAGTCAAAACATCAATAAAGCACTAGGGGGAGAAAAAAACTAATGAGCAGAAACATGTAATTTACATATTAAAAAAATGGTAATTCTACACAAAAAGTCAAAAATGATAATTTTGTGTTCATATTCAAAAAGGGGGAAGAATACATAGCAAATAAAATAAAAAATAATGAGAAAAAGTTCACAACTATGTTTTTGAAATTACTGTAATCACTGTAGTTATAGGGGAGGGACTGAAAGTTAACATTTAGTCTCAATATTCTTGTGTTTTTCCCTTTTAATAATAGCTATGATATTGTATGTACTAAAATATCTTTCAGCATCCATGCTAATAACAGGACTATGAAGGCATTGTATAGCTAAATGCCTTTCCAAAATTTTTGTAACAGAATATTAAAGCTTTAAGAATCTGTATGTGATTTTCGTGAATGTCTTGATTGAGCACTTTAAAAAGCTGTGCATGAAAGTGATTGCATCTGTTAATGAGTTCATCTTTTGGTTTTAATCATCTTTAAAAAAATTGTGTCTTAGAGAAGTTTTTGATATTATATCGGGTTTAATAAAAGTTTCCCACCACTGCAAATATCACCTGTGCAAACAGTTCATGCGGCCATGTTTAATCATATTTTGTAAAAAAAATTTTGGCATTTGAAAGAAAGAAACTTGCTTTAGAACACCGTGTTGCGAAATTTGTAAAAAAAAAACATCATTATCATTAAGAACAAGGTGCCTAAAATGAACTATCACACTACCAGATTAGAACTATCATTTACTTCCAGTTCTATTCTGAAAAGTCAGCTACAAAATGTTAACAAGTCATGTGTACAGCTTTAACTACTAATGTCATTCAATAAGCAGAGCGCTCTGGCCGGCCTACTGATGTTGATGAGGCCCATCTGCAAGAATTTATGGAAGAAGACCAATATGCAGCCACTTGAAAGTTTTAGTACCATGTCCATTAGTCGTGCTATGCATCGCATAAACTTCACGTACAAATTCATTCGCTGGGTGCCGCATGAGCCAACTCAAGCAGATGACAGACATGTTTGGGCCTACACTAATCTGCTTGAATATGAATGCAAGGACAAAATTCTGGACTGGATCGTCACATGTGATGAAAAATGGATTTACTGTAACAACACAGGCCGAAAAGGGGGTTGGTCTGTGCTTGGTGAGCATGTCAGCTGCATCGCAAAGTGCAATTTGACTAACAAAAAGATCATGCTTTTTATCTCATGAGAATGTCGTGGTATTATCCACAGAGCATCTAGAAAAAGATAAAATCCTTCACAGTAAGGTGGCCGTGTTGATTTTACTATCAAGGAAAAATGCCGAACTGAGTATGACACAAAAAGGTAATGTTCCAACAAGCTAATGCAAGATGACATGTGTCTGCATTCACCAGCTGTACTCTGAACATACTCAAATGGGATCTTTTGCCACACCCGTCCTGTAGCCCTGACATTTTTCCTTCGGACTTCTACCTTTTTTCACACCTGCAGCTATATCTTGCTGGTGCTATCTTTCATTCGGCACAGAACATCCAAAATGAGATTTATCTGTTTTTGGACTTGTGGCCACCAAGTTTCTGGACCGAAGGCTTTGAAAAACTACCAAAATGTTAGCAGAAAATCAGAGATTTGGGTAGTGATTACTCCCTGCACTAAAGATATTACTTTCATGATTTTTTTCCTGACTTTATTAAGAACTTTTTTTGGCAGAAAACTTTCATTACAACCAGATATTTGGCTTTAATTTAGCAGTGTTCATGTCTGCAGATAGACAAAATGATCTATAAATCTGCTGGTAGGATTTATTTGTTGCATTTGGAGCATAAATGTAGCTAATTTATTTAAACTTTTCTGTTCTGCCGTCATCAACATAATTTTGTGCTTCTGATCAGCTATTCCTCTTTCATTTGTCTAAACAAATTTTGTCTTATTCCCAAAGCAATCGTAATTTTATGCTCAACAGAAAACTTTTAAATCACTTAACTGACTTCACAAGATGTGAGCAAGTATATAGTTTGATCCTTCTAAATTTTGATTCATTATAATTTTTGGGCAGAATTCATATTTCAAAGCCATTTCGCCTCATATTTTATGAAATAAAATTTCATTTTCAAGATATTCCTTTAGGAAACTGACAAATGAGTTGACATCTACATTATTGATTAAGAAATGCAACAATCTATTCCTTATATATTCACTCAGGTATATAACAGAAGAACAAGTTTTCATTCAGAAAGGTTCAGAAACTGTATTTCATATTTAATTGTTAGTACTCATAAATTTTGCATTTATTTGCAAGTATTTTGTAAATATGAAAATTAGGTATCTCTATTAATGAAAGATTCACTCACGATTCATTTATAAAATTTCATGCAGAAGATTTAAGGCTGCAAACAAACCCAATGGCAATGATCATTTTTCCATTCATTTGAATGAATTAAAGAATTTTTGGTGATTGTGTCCTTAATTGCATAATATAATTAAGGTAAATAAGAGTAGACATTTCAACTATAACAAAAGAATATATGAAGTGCTAAAATTACAATCAAAAATACATTACAAAAATTGAAATAGAGCTCAGAACACAGTTCATGCCATTGTCACGTACTGTTTCCTTACAAGAAGTCCAAGTGAGAACTGATGTCACTTCACTGCTCTGATTACCAACTAGATTTGACAGGTGGCACCAGCTCTTGAATAGAAGTTAAAGTATACGTGAGACCATCACAAATTTAATGAAATCAGATACATGACAAATTGTATAAGAGGTCACCCAGACACAAAATGTATATTTTTCAACTGTTTCACAACACTTGGCATTAATAAAAAAAGTAAAAAAGCTTGATAAATGCTTGCCTCATGAACTCATAAAAACAAAGCCAAGTCTTTGGAGATGTTTTCCTTTCTTACAAATAATTAAAGCAGAAAAGTTTTAGCAGTGAACTGGGACTATGGATGAGAAGTGAATATTCTATCATAAGCACATACATTCATTGCTGTAATTGGGAGTGAAAGGTGCTTTAGAATGTCTTTAAAAAGCACATTTGCATCCAAAGAAGATGCTGTTTAGTGTATATTGGTCTTTCCTGGCATTATTCTATGCTATTTCACAGACTGAAGTTTTTTTAAATTCTTGTTTTGTATGTAAAAGTTTTGTAATAGCATAGTTATATTGTTTTTCTTAGGAACGTTTGCTTAATGTTCTTTATGAAGCATTTGCTGATGTTCGTATGGATCAGTTATTTGATATCATCATTGAGTTTCCTGAATCTCAAGATGCCTTAGAAGACTTAAAAGAATGCTTAGCAATAACTAATATGAGATCCAAACTTATAAGTTCTTTGAAATCATCTTTGGAAACTAGATTGTTACATCCAGGTAAAGTAGAATATTTCATAAGTTAAATATGTTATAATAATAATTGATTTTCAAATTGTAAGATTTTACATCGCTTTTGTGCGTAAAAATTTTATCTTTGGAATGTATAATTTTAATTTAAATTCTTTAAAAAAAAACTAAAAAATATATATAAAATAAATTTAACAGTTACTTATCTGCTTTAGGAATGGAATGATCTTTGCAAATGTGTAACCATTTTACTTTTTCCAATCATTCCGTTTTTCTAAATCGTATTTGAGTTTCTTATTATGTATTTAGACTGACTGATAAGCGACATCTGCTGCTGTACACCATTATTAATGATAGGTGTAGAAAATGATCGGCATGTGCTTTTGGTAGCTGTAACTGTTAGGTGCAAATAAGCTTAATATCATTTCATTATTTAACTTTCATGGGTAGCAGCTCTTTTAGGCATGATTACTGCTTAACTATGAGTTACATATAAATAATTAAAAATAATGTAAATAAGTATGGATTGTTGATTGTATTTCCTTAAATTGAAAAATAAAATATAATATTAATATTTTTGAGGAAAAAGTTAAGATTTAAAACTATTCATGCTTAATTTTCTTTTCAGGTGTGAATACGTCTGACATATTAACAGCTTATATTTCGGCTATTAAAGCTTTGAGAGTATTGGATCATACTGGTGTAGTCTTACAAGTAGTTAGTGAACCAGTGTGTAAATATTTACGGTAAAATATATATTTATTACTAACTTAAATGTTTAGTTATCGGATTGTGATTTTCACCTTGCTAAGTATGATAAGTTTTTTACTGCATTTTATGTTTTTTATATAGTTTATTTAAAAAGATTAAAGTTTTTGTAAAAAAAAGTTTTTAACTTTCACTTTATCCCATTTTGTACAAATTTTATGGATCACATAACTAGGAACATCCTCCTTTCTGTCTTCTGAAAACATTTCTTTCACTGCATTTTGGTCTATCATTTGTTGTGAGTTTACTTGTTTGCATCTCAAGACATAGTTTGTCATCCAAAACATTTTTATATTGGAAAATTTGTGTATGTTCCAAGGGTCCACTATAGTGTCTTGTTAGTATTTACTTTAAACATACTTTTTATGTTATGCATTTTTAAAGATAATTTATATAGATATTATTACTTACATAAGTTTAATCACTGGGGGTTTAGTTATTGTCACATTATAACAATAGATATATTCATTTGTGAAAGACTGGGATTATCATTGGCATCACTAATAAATGTCTAGGAATGTTTTGACAGTCATCTTCATGCTGTTTGTAGGATAATGCATAGCTGTGTTAGTGTAGCTTTAATGTTAGGGATTTTGGTGCATCAGCATCTTTATTAAGTCTAGTAGTATTCTTAAAAAAAAAAAAAAAAAAAGAAAGGCCAGAAGGGCTATTAATTTTGTTTTGGTATTTTGCATTGAAAACTTTAAATGTCCGTTTCACTTTTCAAATTGTTGCCACCACATATTATTGCCCTGTGTTATATTCAAAGAAATTAAATAATGAAGAATCTAAATAAATGTGCGTATGTTTCTCGATTTGTAATTAAACAACGATACCTATAGCCATCAAATTTTGAATAACGTATGTTTCCACCCGCATAATGGCATCTAGAAGCCCAAATCTGGAATTTTTTATCTATTTAATATTTTATAAAGCATTTATAAGTTTTTAATTAAGAAACCCAGTGATTTCAAAGCAAGAAATGACAACACTGTATGGGGAAAAAAAAACATTTTTATCTCTAGGCCGCAAGACAGTGTATCGGAAGTTCTAAAGATATGCACTTTTTAAATTATTTAGCAAGCTTTGAATTGAATTTTCTGATTTAAGTTTGAAGAACATCGTATTTCATAAATAAAGGTAACGCACAAAACGTTAAAAAAAGCCCCTTTGGCCGTAATATAAATTCTGAAAGCTTTCACATTTATTTATTTTTTGTATGTATAAATTTATGCAAGGAATATTTTTTCCAGAAATAAGTAAATAAATTTGAAGGGATATTTATTATATAATGCTTTCTGAGCCATGTTAGATCAAAATAAATCATCGTTTATGAGAGATTTGGATTTTGTTAACCATGTTAAATCAAAATTGTGTAACAAGCATCCTTGGAAAAAAGGGGAATAAAAATACTTTTAGGTACCACTTAAAGAAAACTATTGTATCTTTTGCCATACTGTATAGAGTTTGAAACTATGTTAATATTCCTACAGGTCACGAGAGGACACCGTTCGATGCATCATATCCAGTCTTCGGGAAGACAGCTGTGGAGAGCTAGCTTGTGAATTAATGAAGGGAGTTCCTTTGAAGTTGGAGGACACTTATCAAAGTGATGAAGAAGTTGATGACTGGGAAAAATGGTGCCCAGATCCAGTTGATGTTGACCCTAGTATGCATTTCATTAATCTTTATTTTACATGAGTTATTTTACTTATTTCTCTCCCAAAGAGTTGATCATACTTAGAATATATTATGCAGAAATATGATTTATTTTACAGTGTACTATATTGCATAGGAATATGACACCCTATCATGAAAAATTTTGTAAATAACTTTCACTGGCATCCAGATATAATCAAACATGACACACTGTATTATCAAAAATCTTCTACAGAATGCTTCAGCAATATTGTTTTTTTAAGTTTTATAATAATTGAGGCTCATTTCTGTTACCACAATATTTTAGATATTTGTTTTAGAAAAAAGTCAAATCAGATGGCCACTATCTTTGGTTATTGAAGGAGAAAGGAAATTCGTTCATGGTGACACAGTATATTTAGCTGGTATTTTTCTTTTCTCAAATTTGTGCTGTGTGTCCTTTATAAGTCACAACCAATGTTGTTAAACAAGGTGGTGTGGTGGTGTATTTAATTATGGCAAAGCACACGAGGGCTATCTGCCTAAGGGGAGGGATGCCTTCGTGGAGGACTTTCTAAGGGAAACTGGCTCGTATACATGTTACACATGGGGAAAACCACGAAAACGCCCATGCAGTCAGCCCGTTCGCGGGATTCGAACCTCGGACTGAACTACCAGTGTTCAGCGACTTTACCGCTCGGCCGCTGCTGGGCCCTGTTGTTAAACAAGAAATACCTACTTGCAATAACATATATAGCTATCTTGAACAACTTGTGGGAAGACATCACACCAAGTCTTCACTTTAGCATGAATCTGGAACAGATATTATAGCTTCTGAGATGGTTCCCACTGGGTTTATCACCAAATTGATTTGATCTCACAGAGCATTAGAACTTGATTTTACAGGATTTTGAAGCCTTTTTTTTTTTTTTTTTTTATGGTGTTTAAACCCAGAATATATATCATGGCTTCTAAGATAATTCCCACTGGGTTATCACCAGTCTGATTGATCTCACAGAAACATAAAACTCGGTGTGCATTTCAAAACGTTCAAGGCCACTTTAATTAAAATTTTCTGTATAGAATAAGAAAAGTAATATAGTTAGTTCATTCAGGTACTTCCTAGTAAAATATCCTATATTTATTTCTTAATAAGATACATCCTAAAGATGTTTAATTCTGTTTGCAGCCAAAACTTCTGAAAGTCAACGATCGTCAGATATCATTGGAATTTTAGTGAACATATATGGAAGCAAAGAACTGTTTGTAAATGAATACCGCAGTTTGCTTGCTGACAGATTACTTACGACATTCTCCTATAACACAGAGCGTGAAATCCGGTATCTTGAGCTCCTGAAGTTAAGATTTGGAGAATCGCAGCTGCATTTCTGTGAAGTGATGTTGAAAGATATTGCTGACTCCAAGCGTATCAATACCCATCTTAATTCAGAGGAAGTGAAAAATCGTGAGCAGTGGGTAAGAATTCTCACATTTTATGGAATATTTTGTAATCTTAAAAAATTCTAATTTCTCTAAGTAGTTATCCCTTTATGTTTTATGAGACCTACTGTTCTTAATAGGAACTGTGTATAATATTAAACAATGCCATATTTGTATAACGTGTATAAAATATTGTAATGGCATTTGTAATTTATGGTGTTTCTATTTTTAAAAAGCCATGATGTAATTTTATATGAGGGAAAGGTGAAAAGTTTTAGCCTAACAGTAAGGGTGTATTTGAGCTAGAGTTCCTGATTATTATTTCTCTTCAAAATATTTCCCTATATCAATGTACTTATGCATTCTGTATTGCAATTTGTTTACAATCATCTTAGAAAGTCATTTGTACTGAGTCTGAAGGCCCGTCTACACGAAGCGATTTTCTCAGCTGACTTTCTCGTAGAGCAACAATTTTAAGGATCTGCACGTGCGTCAAAAATTGCTCACATTCTCTGCTGCGATTTCAGAACTAGTGTTCACTGCTCACTAGCATACAATAAAATCGGAGTCTCTAGCCTATAAAATTGCTTTGAGTGATCACGTGCTTTTCACCTCATTTGGAATAATAAACATGGCTGCATTTCGTTTGAGCGAAACTGACATTTTTCAACTAATAGATTTCTATAGAGAAAATGTTGTGTTGTGGGGCACAAGTAATGTAAATTTTAAAAATAAAAAATTAAGGGATTCTCTTATTTTGGTAAGCTTTGTCTTCCCCATTACTTTATATATTCAAATGTTTTCTTTTCGGGGGGAAAGTTATTATAACTTCCCCAAGAAAAGTTCTAAAAACTGTTAATGACGCCATGTCATGGGTACTAGATGAAAATATTCAGAAACTGCGGTCGCACTTATTGAAAAAATTCAAAAAGCAAAATCTCCAGTCAAGAAATTAGGGGTCGATTTAAAGCAGTGCAGAGACTCATTGACTTCACCGAAAATGGGAGTTAATCAAGTGATGAGGTACACAGCTTTTCCGACACCTCCTACGCGAGCAATCATAGCCCAGTGGTAAAGAGCAGAACAAGTTTTCTCCACACATCGAGATCGTGGGTTCGATCCCCCACCTTAATTTTGGACTTTCTGTGCCTGCAAGAACTTCTTAATTTCATTTATCCATCACTAAATTTGAACTTCATGACTTAAAAGTCATTTTTTATTTTTTTGCCTATGGGTGTAGTGTTTATTGAATTTGAACACCTTTCTTTTTATTTTTCAAATGGCCGTTGGCACGTGTTTTAGATCTACTGGTCACAAGAAAGTCGCAAGTCACAAACTCAGTTTTGTGTTAATTGAGTTTTGCGAAAACAAATTACAGCCTAATTTAATACAATATCGCTAAATTTTATTAACTGATTAAAAGAAAGAGTAATATGATCATAGTTTTCTTTTTTTCCCTCCTTCTGTAGCAGTAGCTAAGTTTAAAATTGTAACTGTATCTATAGCAGCAATTTAAAATAGTCATCCATTATTTTAACTATTTGATGACACTGTAAACTTTGGTTACAAATCGTAGACAGTGTGACACTGTAGAGGGCGGGAACACTTCCTTTCACGGTGATTGGCTGAGTGAATTCCTCTGTACTAACAAGAAAATCGTTCCGTGTAGACAGGCGAGTTATCTCAGATATTGTCGGCGAGCTAAGTCGGCCGAGAAAATCGCTACGGGTAGAAGGGCCTTGACACCATTAAATGACTGCCTCAATGACATCATCAAAGCAAATTCTTTAAAAACAAATGAAAATCTGATGGAATCAGGTTAGGGAAATAAAGTGAATGAGAAATTATGTGAAACTGCAGTTGACCACAGCTGCTTGTACAATTGTGGCATGATGAAGAAGTGTATTGTTTTGATGCAGGATGCGTCCATTCTCAGTTTTTCCTGGCTACTACTTCTTCATATCATGTCTCAGATTGGCATGATGTCTCATGTCCATTTCATCCTAAAAGTCAGTCTAAAATTATCCCTTCTTTTACCCCTTCATTTTGGGATAAAATTCTGAAGACCAGTGGCACTGACACTTTGATCATAGACTGTTGTTGATAGATGATATATGACACACATTTGATCAAGATCTGCAAACTTTCAGACATTGTGAGAGCTAGAGTAGACTTTAAGGTACCCCTTGTATTATGGCGAAGTTGTTGTTTGATTTATCGCGAAGTTGTTGTTTCATTTATGGTAGCCTGAGTTGTTCAATGTTATGGGAACCCTATTGTGAGGTAATCGGGTGCATGATTCTGCAAGGAAATTTTGAATCATGGGATGTGTTTGTAAGCGTTTTATGGTGGTGTGTTGGTTTGATTCTTTAGACGGTAGAATGGCTGAGTGTAGTAAGATTAATTTGAAGTTTCTGTACGATTTGGAAGCTAAAAGGGGAAAATAGCGTTTAATTGACTTATGTGTAAATTAAGGTTTACTTAGTAGCCATTATAAGTGTCCTGTATGTAGGAAGGATATTGCATCTAGTCGAACGTAAAAACCGTTCAGATGGAGATTTGAATGGATTTGTAGGAAGAAAGAAAGATTCCTACCGATGGTCACTATGTAAAGCATTCGATCAGAAAGAGTACCAGGTTTGAAAAAAGTCATTTGAGTATGATTGATATTTTGATTTTTACGTGGCTCTGGGTGTACGAAGCGAACTCTAAAATCATGGTAAGTGAATATTTGCTTTTGGTAGTGCTTAAATGTATAACATGTTTTTCCTTTTTTATGTTATTTTATTGTTTGGTTTAAAATGTATTTTATTGAGATTATGTATTTTTTTGCTCCTTTGACTTACGTTTGTGCAATTCTGGGATTTTTTTTTAAAGTGAAAATATTTCGACATGTACATGAATAAAGTTAAAAGAGTGCGCAATGCCATTTTTGCGCAATTCGTGGATTTTTTTCAAGTGAAAATAGGTCGACGTGTACATGGATAAAATCAAAGGAGTGCGCAATGCCATTTTTGTGCAATTCGGGGATTTTTTTTTTAAGTGAAAATAAGTCAATGTGTTCATGGGTACCGAGTTTGTGCAATTGTTTGTCTTGTTATTTTGGCTTTGTGTAGCGGCGATTTTTGCAAAAATAACGAGTCAGAGAATTTGCACAAAATCGGTATCCATGTACCGCCAAGGGGTACCCTAAACTATACATTTACCATTGTGTGCACTGTTGTACAGTGATTATACACAGTACAGCATTAATGATTTTCTGCACTGTGTAGTCACTGGGCATACTTCTTGTTTTTCATTCAAAATGCTTTTGCATCCACATTTGAAATTGGCGATCCACCGGTTAACAGTTATAAATGCTAAGGCTTCATTTCTTGATTCTGCAGCATGTTCTGATGAATTTCTGTTGCAGTGAGGCTCTTTTGAAATATGTACTGAATCACAGCCTGTAACTTATTCTGTTCTTTGACACTGCATTCATTTTCCACGTGGTGAGAGGAGACACAAAGAAGAAAATGCAAATTTCGTGAAATTTTGCAAAGTGTATCATTAAGCTTTACCTAACTTCCTATAAAATTTTAACTGTTCATCACTATTTCTTCTCTGTGAGGCTCAAAACATTTACTCTTTCTATTTATATGTAATTTTATTGGAATTTTCCTTAAGTATGCGTTTTTGGTAAGATAGTTGTGTCTGTTATATGATTTATTAATAGCATTCAGTTGAAATATTTTTATTATAATGTTTGCAATTATTTAAATGTATCAGCTCTTACTATCTGATGTTAGAGAGCTCTCGTCTCCACCTAATTTAGTAAATTAGTTATGCGGTCATAAGACATAACGTATATTGGAATAAAGGGGGCCAAGAAAATTGTCAAGGTCTCAGTTATAACGTAAAATGATTAATTTTTATGCGACTGTAATTTTCTTCCTTAAGATTTTTTATATTTCTTTCCCATGAGGATTTTTACAGAAAGTAATCATTTCCCAATCTTCTTAGAAAATGTTAGCATTGACTCTTGCTGCCATGTACTTCTGAGTTGATTCAAAGGTGGAAAAAAGGTTCTAGCTAATTCTTTCACTTTTTTTAAAAGTGAAGCACGTGTTTGCTAAATTCTTGTCTGTGAAAAGTCATGACTTAGGGGTGCAGGCTTATGTGATTTCTTGCAAGTTTTGAAGAACGATATTTCGTTGGACCTATTTTGCCTTTGGATGGCTATCTGCCATGAATCAGTACTGTAAGAAAGACATTTTAGGGTTATTAGAAAATGTTGGAAGTGTGTTTTTGCCAGGCAAATTAGCAGTCTCTGATTCCTTGAACAAGGCTGGAGAAGTAGGAAGAAAATGAAAAAAAAAAAAAAAAAAAGTAGCAAAGGAGATCTCTACGAGTTTTGAGGGAGGTGGGTTAGATGACCACATAATAGCACTGGTAATTTAGCCTAATATGGGCTTCCTAATGTAAAATTATTATTTTAAAAACACCAGCATTCAGCTTCCAAGTATGGAAGATTCAGATTCTGCTATTAGCAGCTGCTCTGTGTGCTATTTCATCTTCAAGTAAATCTGTCTTTGCAATTTTATTTTGCTATATAATTTATGAAAATTGTACTCAGCTAAATTATATGTAGAATGCATTTTGATAATTTTTAAAAATGATCATTAGTCATTCAAATTATTTACGAGTTTGGTGCTTCCATCAGTGATAATTCAACAACCTTCGACTAGTTCCACTGATCAACAATTCTACAGGTTACAATAATAAATTAAACTTGTTAAGTAAAGTTTTATATATTGTTTAACTGTTAACATATGGGAAGTATTATGTCTTAGATATAAAATTACTGAAGGCTAAATTTGTCAACTGGAGTAATTTGTTTATTTTCTCACTGACCATCAATTGATATTATGTTTAATTGACAATTCAGCATTCCACTGCCTATAGATATATATTTTGTTATATAAAAAGAAGTAAAATTTGTAAATTAGAAATTTTGTTTGCCCTCTCACTGTGTGTTAATATTACATAACAGAACTAGAACAGTAACTAACATTTTAAGTACAGGGTGATCAACGAATAAGCCCTGATTTCAAAGTTAAATATCTCTACAACAAAGATCGATAGAATTATGTAGTAAACTGAACGCTTGTTATCAAAACTGTAAAAATTGTATACAAAAGTTTAGAAAATTTAGTTACGAAAATTGTTAACAGATGGCGCTCTGCGCTGAAAATTCTTTCTCTGATAGGAGTCCAAAAAAAAGTGAAGCAACATTTGCAATCAAAATACAATTTTTTAAAAATGTTCACCGTTCGAAACAATGAGGTGGCGTAAACGAACAAGAAATTTGACATCACGTCTTGCAATGTCTCAACAGAAATGGAATCACATGCAACACTAATCAATGATTCAAGCTCATCTAGAGTAGTGGGATTGTTTTAGACAGTGTCTTTCAATGCGCCCCACAGAAAGAAGTCACAAGGACTCAGATCAGGAGATTATGGAGGCCAAGCTATTCCTGTGTCAGTAAATTGTGGATAATCTAATGCAATTATTCTATTCCCAAAGTATTCATGAAGAAAGCAAAAAACTTTATCTGTTCGATGGGGGTCGATCCTCCAATGCTAGTTGAGTGCTGACAAATTGTTCCAAAATTGTAACGTTCAGTAGTTATCGTTTCTCGTATGAAAAAGGGTCTGATAATGCCTCTGGCGCATACCGCAGCCCATGCAGTAACTTTAGGCAAATGCAGTGCTTTCTCTTCACACAAATAAGGATTTTCAGAACCTCAAAATCTCCAGTTTTGTTTATTAAAGATTACATTAAAATGAAAATGTACCTCATTTGTGAACCAGATGCAGCTCATATCAAATCTGTCGTTGTCGATCATTATTAGAATCTGATTCGCAAAGTCAGCCCTTTGTTGCACAGCTTTCATGGGTATGGCTTGATGACTTTGGATTTTGTATTGAAATAGCTGTAGGCTTTTTTTTTTTTTTTTAATGTTTTTTGCGTGCTCGTGTACTTCAAACCTGTCTCTGATGCAATTCGTCGGATGCTTTTCCTAGGGTTTTGCTGAACAATTCCAGGAACTTTTAGCTGCATTTTCAGGAGTGACTACAGTTTGCCTAGGCCCAACATTTCCCTTTCGATCATCAGCCAACCTGCCAGTCCGTTTGAATTTCGCTAAGAGCATGCAAATGGTTTTCGCATCTGCTCCAACTAGAACATTGAATTGGTTTTGAAAACTGCGACGTGTTGTCATAGGACTGTGTTCTAATCGGTGAAATTCCAGAACCAAAAAAACATGTTGTTCAATGGAATACATTATTTCACTTTCTACGCTAGCCTCTTTTCACTAGCCAATGGTCGTACTGATCACTTTCAACTTCGAAGCACATTTTAAAGGCTATTGATAGGTCATTGTGATTAGATCGCCATCTGTTAACGATTTTCGTAATTAAATTTTTCTAATCTTTTGTACACCATTTTTACAGTTTTGCTAATAAACGTACAGTTTACCTCATAATTCTATCAATCTTTGTTGTAGAGATATTTTGAAATCAGTGCTTATTTGCTGATCACCCTGTATTAGCCTGATATTATGACTTGGATTTCCAGTTAACTGATATTTTATTTTTCAGAAAGATTGCATGAAAAAATTCAATTTCACTTCCAAAAATACTTATGCAGTACCAGAATATTAGATAGAAAACTATGTAGAAGGTTATTGATGACTACATCCAAAGAGAATATACAGATATGAAATGTGTTAAATACTAAAATTATAACCTTCCAAAGTATAAGACATATGGAAAAGAAAAAGCTGGAAACCAGTTTTAAAAAACATTTTTTTCCCCTAAATTCCTTTTATATATATATATATACATATACCTTTCATGGTGATACACAAAATAAGTAAAACAGAAAATTTCTCTTAAACATTTAACAATAGTCCATTTTGAAAGTATGTTAGTGTTAAAAGAAATATCCCTGTGTGTTCCCGTGTGGTATCCTTATTTTGTTTTAGCCACACACCTATATTTTCTTATGGTTCTCAATTCTGGGTTATCAGACTTTTGAAATGCACAGTGCTGCTCATTTAGAATATAAAATATCATGCTTATACAACTTCAATTGGCATGTTAATTAAGTTTGAAAGGATGACAATTAATACTTGTGCTAAGAAGTGTTTTTTAGGTTTTAGCATTTATGAAAAATTGACTTATCTAAAAGTGTAAGATTGACCTATCTAAAAGTGTAAGATTTTATATGTATTAAGTGTATCAATAATCTTAACTAATAGGTACTCACTCATAGTAGAAAATAAGCAAGTTAACAGCAACATATGTTAAAACACTCCTAACCTTTCAGACTGGGACAATTTCATATCACCATTCTGGAGTTGAAAACTGGAATAAGATCAACTGCCACAGGGGCTGCTAACTGCCTCCTGTCCAGTAAGCCATCACGCTGCACAGCCTTTCTGTCTGTGACATTATATCCTGTAATAGACTCCTTTCAGTTCGATCTATGACATGGATGTTGAAAATTATTTATTTACCCCAACTGGTGTACTTCACATGAACTTACTAATTATATACTGAAACTTTTATATATCAAGATAGAAATATTTTTTTGCAGGATTTTCCTATGAATGCTATGATTTTATCTGCTCAATTTTGGCCTTCTTTCAAAGAAGAAAAGTTAAGACTTCCAGAACATATTTGGCAAAATCTAAAAAAATATACAACTGAATTTGAAGCATTAAAAGGTAACAGAACACTTGTCTGGAAACCACATTTAGGGACTGTAGATTTAGAAATTGAATTGAAAGGAAAAACCCTTAATGTCTCTGTGAGTCCAGTTCATGCAACGATTTTGTGGCATTTTCAAGAAAAGTGTAAGTTTTTATTTATTTATTTATTCTACATGTATATTATCAAGACCTTTAATATTTTTTTTCTATTTTTACCTTAATTATTTAAATTTTCTAATTTATTTTTTATTATTTTGTATCTGCTTATTTTCAGCACTATGCCCAAACCACAAATTTGTATTTTTTGTTTGTTTGATTTAAATTATTGTTTTTTTACTGTTTCGCTTTATGTGAAAAAAGAGATATACGTATTTTGAGATGAATATACAAAAATTATGTAAAAGTTATAACTATATTTCCTCAATGTTTAATGTTCTTTTTAAGCTATATTTCAAAACAACATTTTTGGATTTGTTAGTATAATGCAAAGTTGGGACCTTTTAAATTTTTGTGACACAAAAAAAATTCAAAAGTAGTAAAAAATTTAAAAGTAGTAGTAAAAAATTTAGAAGTAGTAGTAATTTAAAGTGCAATTAGTAGTTGCTTATTTGTAGCATATGAATCAATGTAATGCTAATAAAAATATCTTCTGGAATACTTTCTTATATCTTTTAACTAATTGCTTGATAATTTTTTTTTTTTTTTTACCTTCGAATTCTGATAAGTTACTAACCGCAGTTCTCAGCAGAATGCAGTACTAACCGCATTCTCAGCTGATAAGTTACTAACCGCAAGATGTAAGTTATGTAAAAAATTTTATTCCAGACTCTATCTTCAAAATATGTGATATTACTTTTTATAATATTATTGTGAACATGATTAGGTAAAAATTATCATAATAGAGAAAATATTTTTTTTCCTATTAAATAGCTCGATGGACTATAAAGGAGCTGAGCACTGAAATGCATATGCAGGCATCAGCATTACGGCGCAAAATAACTCTGTGGCAGAGTCATGGGATATTGCATGAGGAAGAAAGTGATGTCTTTGTTTTATTAGAAGACCAGAAAACATCAACCCGAGATTCAGTTGTGCCATTTGGAGAAGAAGAAGAATCTGTCACAGCATCTTCCCAAGATATGAAAGAAGAAGAACTTCAGGTTAGTTGTTTTATTATACTATTCTTTTTAATATGTGTTCATGTACAAAATTAAGAGAATTTGCAAGTTATTTGTATTTTAATTGGAAAGTATTAAATCAAAGGTAATAATTATGCCACCAAAGAATTATGCAGATATTCAGAGTCGAATATATAATCTTACAGATAGTCTGTGGAGCTATGATTGTGGAGGGGTATAAGTGCATAAAGAGTTTTCGGCAATTTGTGTGCTCATACTCCTTCACGATATTCACCATGTTTTTTGCAAACGTCGGGTGACTTTTATTAGGTATCAGGTAAAATGAGTAGCCTGGAACTTATGGATGATGGAATGAGATGGAGAATTATCAGTAGATTGGAGACAAGCCATTTACAAAAGCAGGTAGCTACAGAGCTCAGTGTAACACTGAGTGTTGTTTGCAATTTGTGAAAACAGTTTCAGGGCACTGGATCCATATCGAGAAGGCCTAAACAAAAGATCAATCAAAATTGACAACAGTGAATAAGGATCATTATTTGGTACTTTAAGTGTGGCGACACAGGACTACTACAGCTTCACAGCAGCTGTATGATGCCACTGGAATGCAAATTTCATAGTCTACAATTGCCCAAAGAATTCATGAAATAAGAGAGCATGTTTAGCATGGTGCAGACAACATGCACCTCTGACCAGACTTCAGTAGAGTACCATCCTTTTTGGAATTGAATCAAAATTCAGCTTCGACGTTGATTTTCGGCATACCTTCATCTGGAGAGAACCTTGAACATGATACTATTCCTTCCTCATCAAGGAAAAGGATCATTACAGTGTTGGAGGTGTTATGGATTGGGCAGCATTATGTTGGATGGCTGCACAGGCCTGCATGTGTTTGATGAAGGCTTCCTGACTACTATCGATATAGAGAGGAGATCTTAAGCCTGATGTTTGACTTTTCAGGGGGGGTCAGTTGGTCCTAGTTCCTGTTAATTGATGACAATGCTCGTCTATTAACAGGAACAGGTCTCAGCTGATTGAAGATTACATAGAAAGTAAAGATATTTGCTGAGTGGATTGGCTGCTCAGATCATCTGACCTTAACGCTATAGAGAATGTCTGGGATGCTCTTGGGAGGGCAATTTCATCTCACCATTCTGGAGTTGAAAACTGGAGTAAGATCAACTGCCACAGGGCCTGCTAACTGCCTCTTGCCCAGTAAGATATAACACTGCACAACTTTTCTGTCTGTGACATTATATCCTGTAATAGACTCATTTCAGTTCAATCTATGACATGTATGTTGAACATGCCCACCCTATGATCTTTACTGATGATCATGTGTACATAAAGTTACTTTTGAATGGTACACTGCACAAAAAAAAAGCAGGGGGGCTTTCTATATCTCCCGATCCATTGGTCCGATTGATAAAATTCAACCTGTGTTTTTCATGTCTCAAAAGCGCAACTTAGGATATGTATTAGATTTCTATATAGCATTGTTCTGATATAGGTATTTTAACACAAAATCGGACTTTTTCTGAAATGACATGCCAATTTTTCCATATTTTGATTCTACAACTCAAATTATGCCAAACTGCCAAGTTTTGTAAAAATTGCACGAGTAGTTTTTGAATAATTAGCTCTCAAAATTTTAGGTCCTCAATGTTAATTGAATTTGATATATATTTATTAAAATCTCTCTTTTTTATTAAACTTATTTTATTCTTCCTTTCACATTTCAAAATTTAGGTTCATTCCAATTAAAAATCGCCAATTTTTTTCTGATTTATTTTTAAAATCTGTATTTTTAAACAATTTTTATAAATTTTTCAAAACAAATTTTGAATTCTAATCTGTAGAGACATTAGAATTTTTTGGAAGCAGGAAAGATGAAAAATGAGCAACACCTTCGCCAGGAATCCAACCACGGACCTCTGGAATATGTGCCCAGCGTGCAGATCACCTCACTAAGAAGGCGGGAGAAATACCTTATATACTCCCCCTTATAAAGGATAACTGGGGTTTTTAGGGGACCCAATCGCCAAATCCTGTGTGTGGAGAATCATCATCGACCACCCTTTTAGTTCGGACGCCACTGTAGGGACATTAGGATTTTTTGGAAGCAGGAGAGATGGAAAATGAGCAACACCTTCGCTGGGAATCGAACTATGGACCTCTGGAATACTAGCTGAGTGTGCAGACCACCTCAACAAGAAAGCAAGAGAAATATCTTATATACTCCCTCTTAGAAAGGATGACTGGGGTTTTTAGGGGATCCAATCACAAATCCTGGGTGCAGAGAATCATCATCGACCACCCTTTTAGTTCGGGCACCACTGTAAAGACATTAGGATTTTTTGGAAGTAGGAGAGATGGAAAAGGAGCCACACCTTCGCCGGGAATCAAACCACGGACCTCTGGAATACGCGCCCAGCGGGCAGACCACCTCACCAAGAAGGTGTTAGAAATACCTTATAAATCAATCTATGAAATTTTTACCATCATCTTAAAGTAGATGTATTTCTAAGCATACCTGCAAAAAATTAGAGTGCTAAAGATTCAAAGGTTTTGAAGATATATGTGAATTTATTGGCGCATTTTGAAATTTGCATTTTTGTTGAAAGCGATAATAACATCAAATATGGTTTAGGCACTTTGTTAAAATTATTTGAATCTTGGGAAGTCTGTGACCTTTTTTCACTCATGCACAATGTAAAAAGGCAAAAGAAAATAGGTTGCCATATATTAAGAAGTTTGCCAAGTGAATTATTCTTGGCACAAACTGTAAAATATGCATCAAGATAAATTTTTGAATTTCTCGATAAATTCCACACCAAATTTTACAAAATTTAATATTTAGGCATAATTTGAGTCAGAATCGAAATATGGCTGAAACTTGGCATGTCATTTCAGAAAAAGTCTGATTTTGTGTCAAAATACCTATATTAGATCGGTGCTATATATAAATCTAATATATACCTTAAGTTGTGCTTTCAAGACATGAAAAATGAGTTTGAATTTTGTCAATCAGCCCAGTAGAATGAGAGATAAAGAACTGTTCCCCCTCCTTTTTCTTTTTGGTGCAGTGTACATATCTTTCTCTCTTATGAATGTAAATTCTACCAAATTTCATTAAAATCTGCCTGTTAGTTTTTCAGAAATTTATCATCTTAATTTTACACACTAATATTTTTTAAATACATATATTTTAGGAAGTGGTATATTTCATTAGTAATGGGAAATACTTTTGATGATTGTATGTTTGTTAACCCCTAAGTGGTAGTAACATCTATCACATGTTAAGTTTATGAGTACTTTATTGTATGGGCATATTTTATTATGTGCTTATAACTTATGAAGAAGACTAGTTAACAGATCTACTTTCTCATGTTGGATGGAATTAATATTGTTACATAGCAGCTTTCTTCAATAAATACTAAATATTTCTGGTTACTTCCTGTGTTTTCCACATAGCATGCTTTCACAAGATCTGGGGAATTGATTTTAGTGTAGCTATTTTAGAGCTCATGTTCAGTGTAGGAGTTTGCTGTCTTTTTTTCTTTTTATGTAGTGGTCTTGCTGCAATGATTGAATGCAGGAAAAGAAATCTTCTTCAGGTATTAAAAAATATTTTTTGAATATGGTGGTTAATGGTGGTTACTTTAGTAATAGCATTGAAAACTCGCATGACACAGAGGGAAACAGAGTTAAGGAAAGAGGTAGTGATTTAGAAACTTCTGAAAATGATAAAACACTGCAGGGGGCCAAAACACTTAAGCTGACATATTTGTTGCAAGACATTTTTCAGACTCTTTTCAACAAAATAGATAAACCAACAAAGATGATGCATAAAATTTATAAAAATATATTTTATTTGGTGTGCAGGCTTTTTTTTTTTTTTTTAATTTAATTTTATTTTTATATATATAATCTTTCTGCAAACTATGTTTAAATAATACCTTACATGAAGTCATCTGTAATTATTTCAAAATAAATTTTTCTGTACTTCTGAATTATTTTATGCATGTGTAGTCCATTTTTATTTCAATTTTAACCCACCTCTCTCTCTTAAAGAGCGAGAGAGAAAGAGAGATCTAGTTGTGCCAGTATACTACTGTGCAAAGTCAGCATAAATGGTTCATCACAAGTCCATGTTCAAGAAACTTAACCCACTGTGCAGGAGGCATGTCGTGTATAAACTTCCATTTAAATGGTTAATAATTATGATAAGCGTTCTATCTACATCTAAAAATATTTTTAAATTTTATGAATTTTAAAATGCATGCATGAAACTAAAGATATACACTGATGAGCCAAAACATTATGACCATCCCCTCATTTTTCAATGAACTCATGTGGATGTCACATGAATAAGTGGGAATGGTATTTAACTGCTGCTGGGGAAGGTAAGGAATCATTCCTGCACTTAACTTTTGTGAGTAATGGAAAAGGCTGCTGATCTAAGCGAATTTCATAGAGAGCAGATTGTAATGGTCCAGACAGAAGACTTGGAACAAGTATCTCCGAAACTGTAAGACTGGTATGTCGTTCACGATCTGCCAGTAATTATGCAGAGTGAATAGATGATGGTGAAACCAGCAGTAGATGTTAAGGTGTTGGGTGTCCATGCATCATCAAAGGATGTTGAAGACTGTCCAACTTGGTACAGCAGAATCAGCACCAGGCAGTGGCACAGCTGACAGCTCAATGCACGTCCAAGTACTTCAGAACAGCCGTGTTGGATATGGGACTGTACAGACATCCCACTCATGTGCCTCTGTTGACCAAGCATCATTGTCAACTATGCCTACAATGAGCCTGGGAACATCAAGACTGGATCATGGGTAAGTGGAAAACAGTTGCCTGGTCGGATAAATTATGATTTCTCATTCATCACGTCAATTCTTATGCCAGGGTTCTTCAGGCGAATAGATGCCCCCCCCCCCACTGTACAGCAGGTCATACACAGGCTGGTGGTGATGGTGGTATTATGCTGTAGGATACGTTCTTATGGGCAGCTGTGGAACCCTTAGTTGTGGTAAAATAGACCATGAAAGCTGCAGTCTATCTGAACATAATTGGAGATTAGTTGCACCCTTACATGGCATCTGTGTTCCCAAATAGAAATGGAATCTTCCAGCGGGACAGCATCCTGTGTCACAAGGCTTGAATTGTGTTGAAGTGGTTTAAAGAGCATAAGGATGAATTCCAGTCAATGTCCTGGCCACCTAACTCATCGCATCTTAACCTGACAGAGCACATTTGGGATGTCATGGAGCAGCAGCTCAGAGCTCAACCATCACCATGTCAGAATATCTCGACTATGCGTGACCAACGCTTTGATATTTGGTACAACCTGACTCTAGTCATCTTCCAAGAACTTGTAGCATTCATGCCAAGGTGAGTTGCAGCTGTTCTTCAAGTTAAAGGTAACTCATTTTGTTATTGAGTGTAATGTTTTGGTTCTTCAGTGTATGTTGCATTTATCTGAATCAGTATTTATCAAAATTGCATTCATTTAAAGTGAAAAATTTCATAAATAGCTAGAAGAAAGCTTTATTTGTAACAGATTCAACCAGTGGATGAACAGTTAAAACTGTATTTATGCAGAAGTGAGGGCAAAATAAGTTATGCCTGTAGACTTTTTTTTTTTAATTTCCCTTAAAAATATTATATTTCGAAACAGTTTAATTTTGAAAATTTTCTATATAAATTGTTTTAATATATATAGATATATATATTAAAAAAACAAGTGGTTAATCCTACATTTAGCATTTTATTTCACTTAAAATGACTTATATACCAAAATTACCAAAAGAAAACTAAAATTTATTATTAACTTATTTTGAGAGAATTCATGAAAATTTTAAATGAATTTTGTAAATCTATAAATTTATCGTTATTAATCCTTAGGTAATTTTTCACAATATATTTTTATTCTCTTTTAGACTTTCTGGTCATTTATTGTGGGCATGTTGACTAACATGGAATCTCTGCCACTTGAACGAATTCACAGTATGTTGCGAATGTTTGCTCTACCAGGTACTAGTACAAATGAATGCTCTATACAAGATATGAAGCAGTTTTTAGAAAAAAAAGTAAGAGACAGGCAATTAGTTTGCACAGCTGGCATGTTCAAACTTCCAAAATATGATTCTTGAAATGCACGATTAATTTGATTTATTTATATTTACTGTATATACTTTTTCTATTAAAATTAAAAATTATAATTACTTGTAGTCAATTTTTTTTTGGGGGGGGGAAGGTACAATAATCTATTTTCCCAAAAATCATCTTATTTTAAGAAATAAAACAGAAATTCCAGTGATTATTAATTTCCAGTAATTTTTCAGTAGCATAATATTTTTTCGTCAAATGAACAATTGGTCAAATTCTTAAGATGTTTGAATAACTATTTTCATGAGTGTTTTTTTTTTTTTTTAAATATATATATATATATTAATACAGTAAGCATTATTTTTAGAAAGAGAGATGAGGAATGGAATTCATCAGACTTCTAAGATTTCATTATTAAGATAACTTAAAGCTTAAGTATCTAGTGCTATAGTGATGTATAGTACATTTGTGGTGTTTAGTAAAGATCTGCTCTTTTATAATTTTATTCATTTCTGTACAATTTATATTAAGAAAACGTGAAAATTCATTGAATAATGAAGTCATAAATGATTAATATACTTGTGAATCAATAAGTAGTTTTCAAAACTAACCTTTTCTCCACTTTTTTAATAATGAAAAATGCGCTGAATATTCCAAACACTTGTGCAAGATGTATAACTACAAGAGAACATTTAATTCTATATAAAGCAAAATTTTTCATTACGTAAAAGTAGCATTCTCTGGTGTAGGAAGCTGAAATTTAGAATATGTAATCCAAGTAAGATAAACAGAAAAACTGTATTTATCAATTTTATACAAAATGGACATTAATGTACTATAGTGGAATAATTAACATGGTTTGTTATCTCCCAATTACAGAGAGATTAAGTATTAATACCAGTTATTTATGTTTCTCCTCCCTCCTTCATTCCACAGGAAAATCACAAGAAAATTATGAAGGAAGGAGTAAAAGCTAAAGGGTAAAAAGATATACAAGGTAAACAAAAAAGTTCTTGCTGTTTCTGATATGACATTAGAAGAGTGAACCATAACATAAAAATAGTTGCCAAGATTGTAGAAGTCCAGACATTGACCAAAAGTATAAAAACGCTTTCCATCAGTACTTCAAACATAACTCACACAGTGGCTGATTGAAATGGACGCGTCAAAGGTGCTCGTTCAAAGTTGTTTGCTGTATGATTTTAAAGTGGACCTGTCTGCAGCAGAATCAAGTCGCTGAATTTGCCAGGCCTTTGGGGATGATGCCGTTAATGCACGAACCACTAGGCAATGATTCCAGAAGTTCCTGTCAGGGGATATGTCTCTTAGTGATACATCACACAACGGTCAGCCACAAGCACAGGACAATGAGACCCTACAAAAGAGTAGCCCTATGAGAGCAGCCATAAAGAATGATAGTAGCCAAACATGTGGTGAGCTTGCTGCACACTTCCAGGTATCTGATGAAACGATCAGATTCAATTTGCACCACATAGGAAAGGCATACAAGCTGAGCAAGTGGGTACCCCACTCACAGTCCGAAACAAGCAACAGCATATTGCTGCCTGTTTATCATTGCTTACTCGGCACCACAATGGCATTCATATTTTGATCAAGTACTCACCAGTGATGAAAAGTGGGTCCAATATGATATACCCAGGCATTACACACATTGGTTGTCACCATGGAACCCTGTGTCTCACACTGCGAGACCTCTTCACCCATTCAAAATCATGCTCTGTATCTGGTGGACTAGTCGCCAAGAGGTGCACTATGAGCTACTGCCAGTGGGTCAAACAATCACGTCAGGCCTGTACTCATAGCAGTTGGAATGTATGCATCAGGCATTGATGCATAAAGGGCCACCTTTGATCAGTTGTAGGATTGTACTCCTCCTCCATGGCGATGCAAGACCGCATGTGGCTCGGGAGGCCAGGGACAACCGCAAGCACAGGACAATGAGGCCCTGAGACCATCCAGCGACTGGGATGGGAGACACTACCCCATCTACCATATTCCCCAGACCTCGCACCAACAGACTACCATCTTTTCCATTCCCTGGACAGCCATCTTCATTGGATATGAAATAAATAAAATGACTATTAAACTCATTAATAATTTTAAAATTAAATAGTTCATTATTATCAAATTAATTAATAGCTATCTAATTAATGTTTATAAATTTTTATTTAATAAATATTTATTATATAATTAAATAATTAAAATTAAATGTAAAGAGATAAATTAAAATTTAATAAGCGATTTTTAATATAATTTTATTGCTAAAAATAAAATTTTCGAGATAAAATTTCTACTGAAATTGTTATTCAATTACATAAAAGAAGTGCCGCAACCTTCTTATTAAGAGCTCTGGTGCGCTCCTGCTTGAATTATGATTTATTACAAAAACTAAGAATCATCGGAGCGGGCATCCGGTGGGCTCCGTCGCAATGTAAGCTCTGATCGTAGGAGGGGGAGTTCTTTTATCATCACAAAATTTAAATATACTTAAAATATAGCTGATGAAAATTCAGATAATGCTAAAAGAGGGCGAAGCTGAATGAGGGCATGAATGGATGGAAACAAAAAATTAGGGGAATCTTGATGACAGAGAACGTTCTCTTTCACCACGGCTCTTTGCTGATATAATTATAGCCATCCAGAGGATGTGTATCAAGGTTAAAATGAGTTCTGAATTTGACTCCTAAGGATGAATGTAAAGTTGCTGGTTATGCTTTTTGCCCCCCCCCCATATTTGGTTACATTAGTGGATACTCTGGGAAGTCAATGTATAGGACGTGCTTGAGCAATTTATCTCAGTATTTCACTGTTACTGTACTCGCTGTCACTTCACGCACATTTAAGAACACAAATTTTCCTTCCTGAGAGGATAACTAACTGTAACCATTGATAACAATACACTAGATACGATGACATGGCGAGAAATGTACGTTTTCCTAAATGCACTCTCCCAAATTTATTGCCTTCTTAAAGGGAAAGGTTTCCGCATGTGAGTGAGGGGACTTTACTTGAACGTCTCATGTTCTCATGAGCTCGTATTTCTAGGGAAATAGAGTATTGCAAGATCTGCTTATTGTTAAACTAAAACGTTAAGGATTCTAATTTTTTTTCTTGAAATTGTGGCTCAGTTTTGTAAAAAGAAGTACAGGAGCTCATGTTATTTAGGGCTCCGGTGCGCTCCAGCTAGAATTGTAATTGATCTTAAAAATTCAGAAGTACCGGAGCTAGTCTCCGGTGGGCTCCGGTGCAATTTAAGCACTGATTAGATGATTATCTCAAGCAAGGTATTATTGAGAAAGTGTCAGATGAAAATATACGTATCGGTAAACCAGTCTTTTACCTACCACATCAACCGGTATTTAGAGAAACAAGTGCTTCATCGAAGACTAAAATAGTGTTTGATGGCAGCTCACATGAGTTCGTCTATGGACAGGGACAAATTTGAATCCTAACTGTTCCATCTGCTAATTAATTTCCGATTAAATAAAGTTGCAATTTCAGCGGATATGGAAAAAGCAGTTTTGCAGATTGCTTTGGCAGAAAAGGATCAAGACGCAGTGCAATTCCTGTTTATGGAAAACATACAATTAAATGATCTAAAACTAGCGACATATAGATTCAAGCGCGTAAATTTTGGGGATTAAGTCAAGTGTTTTTGTTGGCTGCAACAATTAAAGAAAACATTAGACAATATCGAGATGAGCAGCCAGATGTATTAGAAATATTGAATTCTTGTGTTTATGTTGATGATGTTATTACTGGACAGGATAGTGTAGAGGAGGCTCTAAGCTTATCGCGTACAGCTAAACAAATTATGAGTGATGCAAATATGAACTTGCGTAAATGGGTATCCAATGATCCTGAGCTGATGAAAAAATGGGAAGAAGAGTTCGAGATACATCCACATAAAATCAATGACTCAAACGATACACTGAAGATTTTAGAATGTTTTGAGATACTAATGAAGACAGTCTGAGTATAGACACAGACAGTTTGATGGAATTTCTTAAGAATAAGCGTAATACGAAACGATTCATCTTGAAAACTGCAGGGAAGATTTTTGATCCCTTTGGGTTAATAACTCCATTTACTGTTAGACTTAAATTCTTGCTACAAGAACTTTGAGTTCGAAAATTGACATGGGATGATGAACTACCTACAGATATCTGTCAAGAGTGGGCAAAGTGGTGCTGTGAGTGTCATCATCTAAGTAAAATTGCAGTTCCAAGATTCATTTTGAAACCCGAAGCCGATTCCATAGAGATCCATTGCTTCTCGGATGCCAGTCAGAGGGCGTATGGTACTGTTGTCTACGTAAAACTGCGTAAGCAAGAAGAAATTTCTGTGAGTTTCGTCGCATCAAAATGTCGTGTTGCACCCGTGAAAAGAATTACGTTACCTCGTCTTGAATTACTTGGTGCATTACTAGCAGCGCGTTTAGGTTCTGGAGTGAAAAAAATTGCTCGATCAAAAGAAATCCTCGAGAATATTTTATTGGACTGATGCCAAAATAGTGCTATGCTGGATTAAAGGTACCAGTACCAAATGGAAAATCTTTCTCATCGCAAACAGAGTTAACGAGATTAGGAAGTTAACACAGCCGACAGAGTGGTTCTATTGTTCAACAAAAGAGAACCCAGCAGATGTTATGGCACGCGTGGTGTTCAAACTGACTTTCTTGTGAACTGTTCCAAATAGTGGTCATGCTGTGACTTTCTAACATGCTCAGAGATTCCTCATCAGGACTTATCAATTGAGGTTGCTGAAGAAGTGTGTCCAAATGAACTTAAAAAAGACAATGAACTGCATAACGATTCTAACTTGTTTTCAATTGCATTTAATGAACCAAACCTCTTTAAAGATATTCTTAATTTGTCTTCTAATTATACTAAACTTATTCGTATTGTTAGTTTCAGGTTTATCCATAATCTTAAGAACTCCCAGGTAAGGAGGTATGGAGTACTTGATTTAGAAGAGATAAAGGATGCTGAGGTGTATATTTTATTAGAGGCTCAAAAAAGTGAGTTTCGAGAAAAAAATCAATTGAAAAGAGGTAAGTGTGTAAACGTCAAAAGTACTAGTGTGGAACTCAAAAAATTGC